GCGAAATCTCTGATCTGACAAATGTCAATTAATTTCAGATTTTACGAAAACTCAGTGTCCATATGAAATTTCTTGACCTGACAACAGGTCTCAATTAATCTTGGACTACTCTCTTATTCGCAACCACCGAAATAGACCCCAGCCAGTACAGTTCCTCTCAATTATATACCCAATATAAAATGAATTTAGCTGTGTCTTACCAGGATGTCTTTTCTCTGTGCCTCGGGTTCTTTTTTGATTCCAGTGGAGCCTCTCCTGGGCCTGATAGCGGTCGGCCCCTCTCTCTCAAGCTTACGAGGTAGAGCTGGAACTGCTCAGTCCAGGTGGCCAAACACCGTCCGCTCTCAGGTCCAGAAGGCACTTCCAAGGAATCTCACTTCTGACACCAATTGTTAAGGCAAAAATTCAATAAACAGACATCACTTCGTAAGAGACACTCTGAGTCAAATTAATAAAGGAAAAGGTTTATTATTCTTGCAAGAACAATAAGGCTCAGTCACCAACACAGATTACTGCGAAGTGGAGTGACGCCCAGAACACAGGCCGGGGTGAAGACTAAATAGCCCTCCCTAAGGTTATTTACTGCAAGCCGAGCCTTCTCTGTAAATTTCCACAAAGTTATAGGATGCATGATGCCAGGTTAGATTTACTAACCCCCTCAACCCCTCCCAGTCTAAGATGACCCCTGACCCGGCCGGTCCTCTGGTGCCTAGCTCCACTCTTGATGAGGGAGAACAATTAATACATGTGAGATTAAAATTCCCCACAACAATTATTATTTATTATAAAAACAGCAAAATGATAGTTTAGGCGAATGTGAGTGCACAGTGGTGGAATATTGTAACTCACCCCCATGTCAGTCATGGCGATATCGTGAGTCAGCTTCACACAACGGGAAATATCGTCATGTTTTAGTCTCGCACACCCCTACTGTTTTTACACTAATTCCCACCCAAAATGATTTTCGTGATTGTTTTACAATGCACATGGTAGACTCTTGTTTTGAATGGCCGCGCTATTCAAATTATTTATATAATTCATGTCAGGTGGTCGTGATAATTTGCCAGCATGGACGAGATAACAGCTGTCATGACTCATTAATATTTTACAATGCAAAATCTGACAGAATAGATTTATAGTCGGGCAAAGATTTTCGTTTATCTATTGCTTAAATCTAGAATTCTTGAGTGAAATAATGTAATATATATTTTTAAAGTCCCTGTAAAGTCAAAATTGAGTATGTGTTCTGAGTTTGTCACACCACAGAAAAATGTGTTATTAGCCACCCAGCCAAATTTGAATGATAAAAAAAGCCGGCAAGTACATAAAATAAGCTATCGAAATCTTGAAAAAATGAGCAGTTATCTCTGTTCTCAAACGCGGGGGGCATGTCCACTAGCTGCTCTGAAACCACGCCCACTAGCGGGAAAGCTTGTCTATGGTGATATTAGCTGATACTGCTTTCGGGACAGGACGATGAACGCTGAGGCGGGAGATAGTCGGCTCGGCCCCGTTCACCAGTAACAGCGGATTATCAGTGAATCCCAGTTGTCTCTGAGGAAAGTTTATAAAACGATCCTGTGTAAAATGATCACTACGGGTGGCGGGTGTTGGCGGTGATCCTCAGCTCTTCATCAAGGTTGGCTCTACACAAAATTAATCCACCTCTTCTTGATGTGATTGTTTTAAGGAAATTTAAATAAAGACACCAATCTGTTTTGTACTTGATCGCATCCAGGTAGTAGCCTATGCATTTCCGTGTCGAAGGCATAGCTAGCTAGAAAACTGTAGGCTGTAGTAACTAATAGTACTGACAGTAACTCTCGATTGAGCGGCGAATGTGCTCTATTGTTAGGGGCAGTGGTGGAAAGAGTACTGAAAAAACATACTCAAGTAAAAGTACCATTACATTCCAAAAAATGTAGTGTGAGTAGAGTAAAAAGTACTTGTCCAAAAAACTACTTGAGTAAGAGTAAAAAAGTAGCTTTTTTAAAAGTACTCAAGAGTAGTGAGTACTGAGGTGCGGATTCTACCCCTTATAATAAACACTGTGCACTACAATTTATAAATGAAAAAAAAATGCACATACTGTAATTCACATTATATTTTGTTGTTTGTAAGAGAGATTGAAGAATATCTATCATCAATCTTTTTAAAATGCATCAAATCAGTACACTCATCACCATTTAAATCATATTATTTGGGGGGGGGGGGAGCATTTAAAATTAGGCGAAAAACCACTGGGCCTGAGCATGCTATTGTTGCACATAAAATATCAATATTCATAACTCTGCAAAGAATTCAAAAACCTTTAGAAACTCATATGATAGTACAGCATCACACACCAAGAGATGGGTTAAATAGAGAGATTAAAAATACCCAATTTCTCTCCAAAACGGTACCAATGTTAGTGTTTTGATAAATGAGAATCACTAATATTATCATATTACCTCAACTAATGCACTGAAAAAGGCTAAGATAGTGAGCTAACACTAATTACTTTAATTCCATGCTATTAAATATGTTAAAATTTAAACGTAAATGCACATTGTTCTAGAAGGGTGGCATCCCTTACATTTTACACGGCTACATTTACTCACATTGTAATGCTGATAATATAATTTGTAAGGAAAATTGTGCATTGAATAGGGAAGTTATATCCAGGAAACTTTTACAAAAGAAACAAACAAACACACTTTGTCTCTGAAGTCTCGGCGAAGCTGTTTTATCAGCAGCATCCACAAAAAAAAAAGTACAACATGAACAATGTTTTTGCGGAAGTCTTGCGGAAGTGCACTTGCCAAATGAAGACGGATCGTATAATGGATCAATCAAAAAACGTTGTTTATTAACGAGCTGTGCTAATTTCTTATTAAGAAATGCAGTTCAAGTTAACGACATGCACTGATTCTGAATCTGGCAGCATGGCGAGCGCGACGCGGCAGTGCACAGATCGTGACGCGCGGCTCTCTAAAATGTGATTATGAAGTAAATGGGAGCGGGAATTCACCGCATTGTGAACTCGTCTCGCAATTCCCCCAACCTCAGACCAAATAGGCCATGTAGAAGACAGGCCAGTCTATATACCCAGCTGGCATTTTAACGTTGATTCACCGGTGAAACAACGTCAGGGACCAAGGTTGGATCAACATTGGATTATGTTTCGATTTTGCAAATCTAATCAACGTTGATTTTGCAACGTTGTTTCACCTTTGACATCATGAATGTTGTTTCACTGTTGATGTCGCGACGTTGTTTCATGGTCTCTCCTTTCAATATGGGTGAGTAAAGGTTGTATGTCAAAGTTAAACCAACATTTAATTATGCTTCGGTTTTGCAAATTGAAACGTTGCTATCGTGACGTTGTTTCAGTCTTACCTTTCAACATGGGAGAATACAATTATACATATTACAACGTAGTTTGAATTTGGAACACGATCATGACAATGCTAACTGATTTAGTGATTAACTGTATATTCTGTAGCCTACACTAAAAAAATTATTAATGTCAAATGACTGACAGCAATGGCTTAATTACAAACACATTTAATAAAGAGATAGCACATGCTCAGGATTGTAAAACAAGTTTTATTTTGGAAAACAAAACAAAAAAGTCTAAAAATACTTTCTACATCTGAAAACTTTAACTTGCAGTGTTTTCAAAGTAAAGTAAAGTACAAATCTGAATGGAATACTTAAAAGACAGTTTTTCAAGTAAAACTTAGATGAAATACATTTAATATTTAAAATGTACAGTAACACTAGAAAAAAACTTAGCATCTCAATAAAATGCGACAGTCTTGTGCATTGCTCTAGTAGAGTCCCAGCTCGAGGTCCGTTCTGATGCCATCGCTTCCTCTTTTTCCCTCTTCACTTCTTGTCTGCTCTCTGTACGATCCTGTAGCCCATAAATAAAAGCAAAAACAGTTAAAACTGAATACAAAATAATTTACAAGATTTTCACTTTACTGTTCAATAACAGTCGAGTTGAAAAAGTATTCAACACTATCCATTCTAAAACACGTTATGTATTCAGATATAAATGTACAATATCAAACTTCACAAGCAGTTCTTCAGAGCCCCAAGGTGGAATTGATTGCTGCTTAATATTAAAGGTCACTTTGAAATGAATTTTTGATATGTTTTAGCTTACCTTAAGGGCATCCAAGATGTAGTTGTCTTTGTTTCCACAGCATTTGAAGAGTTCAGATGCAAAAGCCTCTAAGTGCCATTTGAAATTTTCTTCTAAAATGATCATTTTTATCAAGCTTGTATATTTAAGTTCACTAATTTCACTTTAATGGCAATGAAGATTACCTATTAATTGTCATTTAAGTGAAATTACTGAACTTAAATATACAAGTTTGATAAAAATGGTCATTTTAGAAGAAAATTTCAAATGGCATTTAGAGGCTTTTGCATCTGAACTCTTAATTTTCAATTTTGACATTTTTAGGTCAAACCGTTCTTGTCTTTCAGTCATATAATGGAGGTCTATGGTCACCACCTCAAAGAGCATGCACAGAGAAGTCCAAATTAAACATGATTTAATGACTCGTAAATGTAAGTACACAATGATGGCCTAAGACACGAAAAGAGCGGTTTGTGTGAGAAAATTTAATTTGGACTTCTCTGTGCATGCTCTTTGAGGTGGGCCCCATAAATCTCTATTACACGACTGACAGACAAGAACGGTTTGACCTAAAAATGTCAAAATTGAAAATACTGTTGAAACAAAGACACCATCTTGGATGCCCTTGAGGTAAGATAAAACATATCAAAAATTAATTTCAAAGTGAACTATCCCTTTAAACCGTGATTCATTTTTCAGGATTCGTTGAAAGTTCAAGAGAAAAGCAATTAATTAAAAAAAAATAGATATTTTGCATTACTATAAATGTCTTTACGGTCACTTTTGATCAATTTAATGTGTCCTTTCTGAAGAAAAGTATTTCTATTTTATATATATATATAAAAAAAAATCATATTGACCCCAAACTTTTGAACGGTAGTGTACATTTTTATTAAATTGAGTAAAATCATATCATAAAAGGTTGATGAATGCATACCTGAAGTGATAGCAGCTAAAGAAAAATCCTCCACCAAATTGCCAGTAATCATCTGGATCCTTGGTGAGTCTGGAAGGGGAAACAAGAAATGATTCAATGAAAAGCCCTAAAAAAGCAGGATTTTTTTTTTACCATTCCATAAACAATCTTAAAATGTATTTAATACTACAAACGTTTGCCATTATAACACATTCACACAACATGAACAGAGTACTGTCATCTTTGAGACTGTTAGTTATTACATGATTAAAATGTAAACGCACATTTAAAGCATGGCAATCCCATCAGAAAAATGTATATCGTAGAAAGGGAAGCACACAAAAAAGCCAACTGGTACATCAAAATTAAGCCATAATATAATGTTACCTGCAGCCTTTATCCTGTTATGACATGTCTGAGGGTCTTTCCCTTACTGTTTTCCAGCACTGATGAAGGTAGGTGACATGACCTTTCACTGCGGCACTTCATAGGAAGAAAGACAAAAGTACAAAAAGTTACTTAGACTTTCTATCAGTAAATGTCTTTCTTTGATGATGAGAATCATACTTTATTAATCCCAGTGTAGGTTTTCAAAAGAGTGTGTAAAATTGACAAGAAACAAAACAAAAACAACTTACTGTAGTTGGTGGATTTGTCTCTATTTGGGTGTTCTCTCCCCGAAAAAATCGTATTCCAATGCTTGACCTAAAAAATATAAACAAATATAATCATTGGCAGTTATCAGTGTTCTAAGAGGTTAAATAATGAAAAATGTCGTCTTACCTGAAGTGATTTCGCCAGTATTTTTATAGACCACGTAACGTTACGACCCCTTCCTCTGTTCACATTCCAGCTTTTGTCCTTCATTGACATATCACAACTCAAATTCGCTCAAAATAAGAATTTACCAAAAATTTATTAAATAATCCGTGTCCGACCGGGGAATTACAGTTTTTCTCAATTGCTTAAACACTATAACCAGGCTTTTGAACTAAAATTTCAAAACCATAATGCCATTTATCAAAAAGCACACCCATTTCCCTAAACTATAAACACTATTCCCTGTTTTGACACATGAATCAGAATTGTTGAACAATCACTGCAAAACTCTACACACAAATCCCTTAATTTCTCATTGCCTAGACCATGTGGTCATTTAGAAAGCACTAGCATTCAATATTGTTCACTCAAGTCAGCATAGTTTCAGCTCACTTAGCACACAATTACCCAGATGAAAACACTGAGAGTCACAATTTAACACACATCAATCAGAACTTTCAAGATGCCTAAAAGTGCCAGAGTCAGTTCATCTGAGTTTTGGAACAATGGATCCACAAAGAAATGAAGGAAGAGGACGTGGAGGAAGCGGAAGAGGATATGGTGAAGGAGGAGGAAGAGGAGGAAGAAGAGGAAGAGGAGGACGTGGTGAAGGAGGAGGAAGAGGAGGACGTGATGAAGGAGGAGGATATTGTGAAGGAGGAGGAAGAAGAGGAAGAGGAGGACGTGATGAAGGAGGAGGAAGAGGATATGGTGAAGGAGGAGGAAGAAGAGGAAGAGGAGGACGTGGTGAAGGAGGAGGAAGAGGATATGGTGAAGGAGGAGGAAGAAGAGGAAGAGGAGGACGTGGTGAAGGAGGAGGAAGAGGACGTGGTGAAGGAGGAGGAAGAGGAGGAAGAAGAGGAAGAGGAGGATGTAGTGAAGGAGGAGGAAGAGGACATGGTGAAGGAGGAGGAAGAGGATATGGTGAAGAGGAAGAGGAGGATGTGGTGAAGGAGGAGGAAGAGGACATGGTGAAGGAGGAGGAAGAGGACATGGTAAAGGAGGGAGAGGAGGAGGAAGAGGACATGGTGAAGGAGGGAGAGGAGGAGGAAGAGGGGGACGTGGTGAAGGATGAGGTAGAAGAGATGGTGGTGAAGCAGGAGGAGACAAGCAGTCTCAGATGAAATTAGAGCCACTTGAGTTGATCATGTCCTTGTCCATGGCATGACTATGAGGGAGGCTGGACAACGAGTACAGCCTAATTTGAGTCACTTCACCTTCGCCTCCATCATCAGAAATTTCAGGGAGAAAAACAGGAAAACAGGGGTGAGTCAGGCAAAAGAATTTTACCTCTGCTGCCGGGCTAGGGCTAATATAGCCTGTGATGTGGATGTGATTGGCTTGACCCAGACCAAAGGCAGGAGGCTGAGGTGGAATAATCTTTTTTTTTTTTTTTTTTTTTTTGTGGTACTGTGTAGTACATGAATGAATAAAAATGTGCCAATGTATCCATTGGTTGTGTCTTTTGTCATGTGAAAAAGTTTGTGAGGAGGGGAACCACAAGTAACATAACTTACCAGTTTTGGAAATGTTGTTTTGAATTTATTGGACCAGTGTGTTAGACTATGTTGTAGTGTGTGTTATTTTGAGGGCTTGTGTGTCCTGTCTGAGGGCAAAGTTTATTTTTTCAGCAAGAGTGAATGGTTTTGAATGTAGAGTTTCATTTTGACCTGAAAATAGGTTGTTTGGGAAACTGAGTGAGACGTTATGGATTTGTGTTTACTGTTTTGAGAATAAGAGGCATAGTTTCAAGAAATGTGTTTAAGCAATCGAGAAAAACTGTAATAATCAGCAGAGCAGCTGTTCATCACCGTCACCGACTCAAACGGTAACGGACGTATTTTCAAACCTAAAATAGGCGCGCATTTTGTCATTGGCCAGTTTCCTGGAAGACAGAAAGATTAACCAATCATGATCAAAGTAAACCGGTGAAACAACCAATAACAGTAGTTTCAGCGTGGTGACGTAAAATGTGTATAGTGTATTTAGTTTTATTCGCAGTCTGTATTTATTTAATTAATTTGTCAAATGGTGTTTTCATGACAGTGTATGATTTAAAAAAAACAATAAAGCATGGTTGGGTAAGCAAACTTGTAAATCCACACAAAATCACATAAAGCAAAATGTTTCTGCTCTTGAGGTTGAAATTATTGGAGAGTTGTCTATAATGATAATAATTATATTTTAACATATCTATTAAAAGGTTGTATTTTCGGAATATCATTATGCTAATAATGATCATAATAATAATTTATAAGGTAGATATATTATACATTATTTCAACCATATTTCAACGTTGAAGGTCGGTCATATGCCAGCTGGGTAAATATCATATTAGGCAGAAATGTGAAATGTACCTTAGCATATTAGAGGAAGACGCTGATATCTGGATTGAATTGATGCGTGATGTATGCACTTCCACAGCAGTCACGAGTAACAGCAGGAATAGGCGGTTAAAGTTCCCTATCGAGGGAACTCAAACTGCGTCCAAGTGACACTTTGGGGGAACGCCCCTCAGCGTAGCGTCTCTGAAGCATGAATGAAACTAAGCCAATCTCCGATTGGATCAACGTGATGACGTGATGTGTGACGACACATAGGCGGAAGCATATATAAGGAACCGGCACACACAACATGTCAGCTTTCTGTTCTTCAGCTAAGCGCTCTCTGTGACTGTCAGTCTTATTTATTGTTTGTCTAAGCAAGTATATCTCCCTAAAATCTAAATAATGGCGAGTGTGAATTTCAGGCGGTGTGTGCACCCTTGACCTCGCTACATCACGGGCGGGGACACACACCAACTGTGTACACATTTTCTGGGAATGCAGCACGCGCAGGCAGCTCTCGAGGGAGCTGCTTGCGAGCATTGTGAGGCTTTACCGCTCCGCGTGCTGCGTTCCCGGCTGGCCCTTTTCAATGAAGAGGGTCAGCCTCGTGAGCCCCGTGGTGCGGGACCCGCGTCCGCCGAGGCGGCGCGGCGACGCTCTTCATGGGGCTCGCAAATGGATCTGTCTGGGGATCCCGAGGCTGCTGAGGCACCTTCTCGGGATTCATCGGACAGTTCCGATGCCCTCGAGCCTCGCGCAGAAGCCCGCTCGGCGGCTTCTTCTGCGCGAGTCGAGGATCCGATGCTTGAGCTGTCTGCTTCCGAGGAGGTGGACGTGCTCAGCATCGAAGGGGGCGGGGACTTCGGGGATGACTCGCCACCCCGTGTCCCCGCATATGATGAGCTGGTAGAGGTTGTTTCCCGTGCAGTGGCTCATTTAAAGATCGATTGGCCACAAGAAAAGCAGGAAGTGCAAGTTAAAAGCAAATTAGATGAGCGCTTCCTGCAGCACAGGGAACAACCTCATCATCGGGGCTTACCGTTTTTTCCCGATTTGCATACTGAGGTGTGTAAATCGTGGAAGAAACCCCATTCTTCTCGTGTTTCCAATCCCACTCTATTAAAATATAGTAATATCATGGGGGCACGAGAGAATGGTTATGGGATGATGCCGCGGGTTGAACAGCCTTTGGCTAATTATTTATCACCTGAGTCGGCATCATCCTTTAAAGCCCCGGTGCTGCCCACCAAGCCATGCAGAGAAACATCTTCACTGGTGGGCAGGGCATATATGGCTGCGGGTCGGGCTGGTGCGAGTCTTCACACCATGGCGCTTCTCCAAGCGTACCAGGCCGACCTTCTTAAGGATATTGATGAGGGCGAGGGACCAACTCCGGAGGATGTGGCGGAGTTGAGGAAGGTCGCTGATTTGTCTCTCCGAGTCACCAAAGAGACGGCCCGCGCTGTCGGTCGCTCCATGGCGGCAATGGTGGTCTCGGAGAGACATTTATGGTTAAATCTGACGGGCATCAGGGAGAAAGACAGGGCTTTCCTCCTTGATGCCCCGATTTCGCCTTCTGGCCTGTTCGGCGACGCTGTTAATACCGTTGTCGACAGGTTTCAGGAGGCGAAAAATCAATCAGCGGCCTTCAAACAATTTCTCCCTCGTCGCTCAGTATCCAGGAAGTCTGCCCCCAGTGGGCAGTCGCAGCCTCAGCCAGGTACCAGCTCCTCCACCTACAGGCAGGTTCAGAGAGAGAGCGTCGCGTCTAGAGCCCCCCCTCAAGGAGCTTGGGGGCATAGACGGCGCTCTCAATCTAAGCCGCAAGCCAAGCAGGGCGACCTGAGGGCCGTCCTGCAGGCTAAGAAAACATCTAAGAGGTCCTAGCAGTGCTAGGATCTCTGCGGGCGGCCCCACCCGTGATGGAGCGACTGAGGTCGTCTCCCTCGCGGAGCCCGCAGGAAATCGATGTTGTTCTCCGCCGTCAAGTACGTTTCGGGACGCATCGGTTTCCAGCGATCGCAAGCTGCTTTGTCCGCCCCACGAGCCTGCGGACGGGCAGCGATTGCGTTCGCCCATCGAGAATCGTTTTCAGTCCAGTCCTGCCGGAGATTCGTTTCAGGCGGTCGAGAACGAATCCCGATTAATACCCGAAACCAGGCTCGAGAGCCTGGTTTCCTTGGCGAAATATTTCGATGCATGGAAAAATCTAGCGAATATTTCCCCGTGGGCGCTGCGCACGATACAATACGGGTACAGGCTGCAGTTCGGGTTCCACCCACCCAGATTCAACGGGGTGGTCTGGACTGTAGTCAACCCGACGCAGGGTCGGGTATTGGAACAGGAAGTAAACTCCCTGCTGGCAAAGGGGGCCATAGAGCATATTCCTCCACTAGACAGGGAGTCCGGGTTTTACAGCCGCTACTTTATAGTTCCCAAAAAGATGGGGGGTTGCGTCCGATCATAGATCTCAGATATCTGAACCGCTCTCTGAGGAGATTCAGGTTCAAGATGCTCACTATTCCCATGATCGTGAGTCAGATCCAATCCGAGGATTGGTTCGT